ACATGCTTACATATGAATTATTAGCGTCACATTTCCATTTGAATGCTTGGGTACACACAAGGTGACCATATAATTAAATGCCCAAAATGGAATTATTTTAGAGATTGAGAAGGGGAATTATGAATAAATACAGAGTCAACAGACCTTATCATTGTTGTTAAGTGCTGTTGAGTCAATTCCGGCTCATAGCAACCTGGTATAGGGTTTCCAAGGAGTGGTTGGTGGGTTTGAACTGCCGACCTTGTAGTTAGCAGTCTGGTGCTTACTCTACAGTGGCACATTAGGACACCTAGACCAGGGCTTACCCTATTGACAGATAAAGGCAAAATAGCAAAAAGCACTAATTCATATCAGAATTTTGGAGGCAAGAACAAAACAGAGTTGTTTAGGGAAAAAAAACAAAAAACAATTATAATTAGGATTATCTACCATGAGCCCCCAAAACGAATTGCAAGACATTCATGGAACCCTATAACTCGATGCAAATTTTGCATATATGAGTTTTGTTTTGTTTTGTTTTGAGTCACAGTCATTGTTTCCATCCTATCTTGAATAGAGTGTGTGATCAGAAAGACTTAATAACCTTTTTTTAAGTGACATTTCTATTGTACTGTTTCTCATCAAGTGGTATTTTTAGGGTCTGGGGATTCCCCAAAGTCATGTGATAACAGTGACATCTCGAAAGGTATAGAAATTTCAACTCCATCAAATCAAAATCAGGGATGTCAACTCTAGACAATGGTAACTCTAGCCATTTAAAAGTAATCATTTGCCTTCATCTCCTGAATTTATCCACTTTACTAATTTAGTGCATAGGGATGTTTTTTAAGGGTCAGTATTTCAAAACCATTCCATTTCACTATCTATAATAAAAAAAAAAAATTGTAGTTTCCTTTTAAAGATCCTCTCTTATCAATGTATTCCCTAGTGAATAATGTGGAAATGATACGAGGTATCATTTAAGATTATATGTGGCATTAATGCAAAGCAAAACTGCTGCCTAAAGCACATTTTATATAACTGCAAATAAAAAGGCTAGGAAAAAACCACCTGCTGAATCTTGTATTTTCACCTTCCCCACTTAAAGAAGGGCTCCTCATTATAAACCTGGGCGTCCATGTGGACTAAAAGGCTGCCCTTAACAGCGGATTCCACTACCCTTCCTTGAAGTCAAATGGCCTCCTATTTATATGCAGTGCTTGTGCTTGATAGAGCCTTGGAAGGAAGGGGACCGGCAGGAGGGGAAGCTATCAGGTGACCGATTTCAAGTTCAGATACTTTATAGATGGCCTGAGACTGTGGTCAGTTTTCCACTGCAAGCAACACACAAGGTTGACTTTCTTTCCTAACTTTCATGCTGCCAGAATACACATGTACTTTTACTTTCTTAGGAGAAAATGTGTCATTTGATTTCCTTCCAGTTTATGTACTCGTGCCAACAACTAAAATGCTTAAAGAACCAAAATGAAGTACAACCCAGAAATGGTGGTCAAAGTTCCAAATTTCGATCAATAAAATTGTTCTTCTACTCACAAATTAACCTTCAGCCAGTAAAGTTACACATTTCTGAGGTTATGCGCACACCTGCACCGTTAAGCATTTATTTTACTTGTTTAAGCAATCTTCAAAAGTATATAAACATTTATAAAAGCAAGCTTGCTATTTTTACTCACATATAATTTTCTTTTTGCAGCGAAACTACTATTTTACAATTCATAAGCATCCTGAAGGCAGGGTTTGTACCTTTGACCAAATTGTATCTTGCAAGTACCAGCGCATTATGTTTTATAATGTGTACCAAGTGGAGTGTGATTAATTCAGATCATATTACTCTGGAATTTGTGATGGGGACCGATTTTCAAATTTTTGGTATCATTCATAAAAAAGATTGCCAAGCAGCAGTTTAATAGGCCAGAAAGAGGGGGCAATTTCAGTTACTAATTAGAATCTTTTTTTGAGAACTTCAATATTCGTTCCCGATGTCTTGTCTTCACTCTAAACCACAACCTCATCCAACACCACAACCAGTTCAGATTTGGTTCGATATGTGTCTCCCTTATTTACTCTCGTCTCCCCGAAATTAGTCCAAATTGGGGATGCTGGACTATATTCTGATCTCTATCGAGTAATCACTTATATCCTCCTGTAACTTTCCATTTTCTTTTGTTTGTATCATCAGCCTGTGAAGCTGGAAAGCGCTGCCAAACATAAAAGCAGGGAAGTGTGAGCTATGCTTAAAATATGAGTCCCAGTATATTTGGGGATTTGAGTTTTTTTCTTTTCCTCAAGCTATCAGCAGATCGAATCCTTCATCCATGCCAAGCCTTACTTGGCATAGAAGTTCTGCAATTTGCTAATATAGGTTTCTCACTGTAGTGATGCAGGGTAAGAAGATCCGAGGTGGTCACCATTAAGATTTACTGTAGGATTCCCCCTTCCATTTCAAAGCCACGTGGACTGAGCTGTCCCAATACGGATGTGGCATGTCAAGATGTATGTAAATGGAAAGGTTACCCCTTCAGTGAGTCACCAAGTCTGTACGTGTATTTTTATAACGAGGTAATATAACATGTTGCCTAGGTTAGTAATTTCCCCTCTCTGTTAGTGAAAGGCAAGCCAACCTAATGAAAGCATACTGAGTTCACTTGATCCTATCTAACAGCATGGAGACATTCAGCAATAGTGTCTCTCTCTCTCTCTCTCTTTCTCACACACTCACACACACACACACACACACACACACACACGTCAACCAACTTATTTTTTTTTTCCCCTCTCAACTAACTCTTAGAGCTGGTCTAAATTCTCTGTTTGTCAACTCCTCCGCTTAGGAGGTGGGAAGGAACTCAAAATCATCTTCTTTAGCAAAACCAGCCTTCAAGATTGTCCCAGAGCCTCTCCCCACCACTTTGTATCCAGATTGAAGTGCTCAGCAGAATGTGTTAGATTGGTTTTGACACTGTCCTTGCCAAGAAAAAAAAAAAAAAAAACAAAACCAAAAATACGAAGCCCTCTATATGTAGTGGCTAAAAACCTTAAGAGGGGCAATACAAAAATTAGCCTCAAAAAGAATTTCCCTGAAATTACATCTATTTAATAGCATTGCAAGAACTTCATTCATCTTGGAAAACAAGTTACCTGAAAATGCCATATGCTTTAAAAACCAAGTATAAGGGAAAATAAGTCTACTATAAAAAGAGGAAAAAAAAATGATAATACTGAAGAGCTTGGGATCAGAGAGACTATGTGGTTTCTTTCTTTGTTTTGTTTTTTCACTTTCTCCAATCAAAGCTCTGTTATGTGTAAGATTCTCTCCCTAATAATACATTGTCATTTTTGCAATGCACTGGAGATCTGTTAAATTCAAGGGGACTTGCAGTATTTTTTAAGACTGGAGAGTTTCAGGAGTAAGGCAGAAAGAATGGGCAGTCATTTGAATCACTGAGTGACAGGCTGGGCTAGCTCCCTGTATACATTAATAAATTAGAATTTTAATTGTGTCTCTGTCTGCAGGAGATGCCCCGGCACTTTAATATGTACCAACAATTGGCTATGTTATGGAATCTGCAGCGTGGCCTCCGCTGCTGACCTCTGAAACACAATTCCCAGTCTGGCTACGGAAACTGTTCAGTTTGATCCTTTCAACTTATTTGAATCCTGACAAATAAGCTCACAGCTGAAAGGTCAACACAGTCATATTCCATCCTCCAGAGCTGTTCTTAAGACATCTGCACAACAAAGCACTGCTTAGAGCACCTAACACAGGACCTCAGTGGCACAGTACCTCATTAAAAATGTCCCCAGTATTTCAACACATGAAAAAAACATATGGATGGTTTACCAAAGAACTCTCTTCAGAAATGTTGGTAAACAATACACCATGTCATTCAACTCTTCCAATAAAGGTTCAGGATTGTATTGACTATTCCTTGGAGAGTAACCATTTCCCAAGGAGATGCAGAGGGAGGGACTAGAATTTGGTGCTCGAGGTCAGTTTTCTCTTGGCAACTGGTATTACCTCCCTCTGACCTGCAACGAGTCAACTCAAGTTCGAAGTTGAGTTGACCTTGAGATTAAACTAATTGGCACCAAGTTCTGCCCATCAATTACCATTTACCCGCCCTGTCGCAACATTTCTCGTTTGAGAAATTCACCTTGGCTCCTACTTGGGGGATGCCCACCTACCACTTGCATGTGTCCCACCCTGAATTTAAGCATGGAAATCCTGCGTCAAGTTTCTTGAAAATTTCTACTTCGACTTTCGACTCTAAGTGAAAATCCAAATTAAATTTTTATGAGCTCATAGCTTCTTCTATTCCATTACATCCTGCTCTCAAAATGCCTGAAATGAGAAGTCACTAGTTTTATGCTAATGATTCAAAAACATTCTGAAAACTTCTATTAAAGACCAGGGTACTTATTATACTAACCCTGAGCATGACATTCACGTGCTATAGTCTGCTCAGCTCTAACAAAGCAGGGGAAGCTCAGTCTCAAGCTAATTTGGGGCTGGACAATTCTTTGTTGAGGAGGATTTGTTGTGTATTATAATATGCAGCATCGTTTCTGGCCTCTAACCTAGTAGATGTCAATGTCCTACTCCTAATGTGACAACCAAAACCATCTCCAGACATTGTCAATTGCCTCTTGGAGCACAGCACTGCTGAGTTGGAAACCACAGCACTAAATTGTGTGTGTGTGGATTCCTTCTCTCCTTTCATCATGAGAGGATGAGGCAACATCTTTAACTTTTTCTCATTGATAACTTACACCACCTTTTAAGTAACCCAATACCTGCAACCACTCATTCTGTTAAATTGACTAATTAGTAAACCATCTTACTCTCAACAACAAAATACCATGATCTGTCTATAGACCTGTTGCAGAATATTCTCTTGTAGGGTTTTCACTCCTGGAAAAGCCACTTCTGAAATGCTTGTCAGGTACCGCCCCCAAAGTGTACAATGTGCATTTTAAAACCCCCGAAACAGAATTAGTACCTGAAGGGCTGGTTGTTTGTCATTCCTCTTGGGGGATTTTAATCCACTGACTTGCTGTTGCTGCTGTTGTTGTTGTTGTTGTTGCTGTAGAAGCAGCTGTCTTGCCACTTGAATTGCCTGGATGGAGGAACACAAAAAAAATCTGCATTACTACAGAGGCTTGGGAGCTTCATTCAAAGGGTTCCAGACGTGTGTTTCATGACTGGATCCTGACATTCCCATTTTCAGGTAAACAAAGGAACGAACAAAATCCCCCCTCCCACTGAAACTGGACAACTTCCCAGAGCTTTTTTATATTTTCTCCTTGTTGTTGAGTGCCGTCGAGTCCGTTCCGACTCCTAGTGACCCTGTACAGGGATTCTCAGGAGTGGCTGGAGAGTTTGAACCATAGATTTTGCAGTTCAAACCAACCTTGCGGTCCAGCTCATTAACCTGCAGCGCCATACCAGGAGCTTTGATTTGATCACTTTTCTCCAGCGAACTTTGTGCATAGTAGCTCTTTAAGCAGATACTGTCTTCCTACCAAAGAACTGATACAATATGTAAGTGTGAATGGCTGAGTTGGTGAGGAAGGGTGACACAGAGAGGCCAAGAGGGGCCTGAGCAAAGACAGAGTCCCCTCCCCTCAATTTTCCTGGCAGGAAATGAGGAGCTCATGTTGAAAGTAACTCCTTTACTATAATTGTTGTTGTTGTTAAGTACCGCGGAGTCGGTTCCGACTCATAGTGACCCTGCACAGGGTTTCCGAGGCTGTAAATCTTTACGGGAGCAGAATGCCTCATCTTTCTCCCGCGGAACCGCTGGTAGTTTCAAACTGTCGACCTTGAGGTTAGCAGCCCGAGTCATAACCACTACGCTACCAGAGCTCCTTTTTACTACAATAAGAGTCAAATAAAAAGAAAGAGCTAAGAGGTGGAGTACAGGAAAAGCCTTCCACTAGGGAGCAGATAATTTGGGAAGCAAGAGTGAAACAGAAGAGACATACTTTGAAAGGAAGGAATTGATGGTCTACCTAAGAGAAAAAGTTAACAAATTTAATCTCCAATCATTTTAAAGAGCATGTTTTGCAACTCTGAACAAAACCGATTATGTCCAACACAAATGAATGTCAGTTTCCAAAATGGTTGGTTTTTATTTAATGGAAGAAAATGGGGAGGCGGTGTGAAGAGGAGCTAATCCAAGAAGAAGACAGCTTAGTCTCCCCCAAAGTAAATAAAAAATGAAAAGTACCATCAAAAATCTCTCATGAGGATTTTCACTGTCAAAGAGTTTACCAAAGAGGGCAATAGAACTAGTCAACATCACAGGAAAAGTCATGTTTCTGGAGCTGCTCACCTAACAAGTATGAATGAACACATGGAAGAGGTGTCAAGAATGCTCATTAAATGATGTGCTGACAGTCTAGAAACATAATGAGATTTCATGGGTGTTGTATCAATAACTATTTCTACATACTGACACTTCTATGTGCCTCACTCAAAGATGACCACATAGGTGTGATCAGCAGATCCACAGAATCTTCTACTATCTTAGAAAGGGAACATAATGGACTGATGGTTGTCTGTTCTTCAAAGGGGAAGAGGCACTGCATGTATATAAAAATAAAAAATGTGCACAGTTGCGAGAAAACTTACATCGACAATGAAGCCACCGATAAAAGGACAGATGGCCTGCGGGATGCTGTATACTCAACTCAGGAGGAAGGGAAAACAGAAGGGTCGAGAAGATTATGGCTCATGGACACCTAAATTGCTGAATCAGCAGTAGTACTGCCCCTAGAAGGACAAGCTCATTAAACCAATCTCATAACCGCACTATTGCAACCCCACACATTTTTTAAGACACCTTGTTACGACGTTGAGAGGTGCCTTTGAATTTAAGAGATGCAAAGGAAGGCAATGAGACAGAAGCACAAGTGAATGGGTGACAAAGGAAAGATCTCGGGAGAGATGGAACCCTCCTAGCCCACCTCCTGGCCCCACCCACTCCTCTCAGGGAGGCCTTCTGCCTACTGAACTCACCACAACCAGCCCTTCAGATGTAATGCACAGGGTATTTCGTCTGTGAAGGGAGAGACATGTTCGAGAGAGCCTGCCTGGAGGAGCCTCGAGAAAAGAGGCTGGCTGAGAGGGGCATCTGGAAGCCAAGACGCCTGGGAGAGTTGCCTGAGACTCCAGCCTGCTGTCTCAGTGGAGGATTCACCATCACTGGACGCCGGGCTTCCTTGTCTCCTTGGAGACGCTCAGTACATGCGTAGGTGTAAAAGTGGGCAGAGTGAAGATTTCATTTATATCATCTAAGAAAAATAGTCCTCATTGGAAGGTGCCTGCAGGAGCAAAAGTCTCTCCTCCTACTATATATGTTCCCTCAGCTATTTCACATGAAGGTTTTACGGCTTTTTAATGTAGGACAGGGAACTGTTATATATCTTAAGTGTTACCGTCAGAGTTCCCGGAGTAATAGACTGATCAGCAAGGAAAGGTCTGGTTGCTAGCTGGAAAAGCAGACAGCGAGGATGTGGATGACAGTGACAAGATGGTGCCAAGAAAGATACTGTGGGGAAGAGGCGAGACATTACATATATTTGGTACTAAAATAGAGCAAGGAAAGAAAAATAATGACTACTTAACACAATCATACATCTTGGTTAAAATGACTTAACATGTTTCACCAAATAGGAGAAGAACAGGTACTCAGTTTTTAAGTAATCAAGTCTTTCCTCGTTTCAGGAAAAGGTATGCAATTGAATGCCTTTAAGAATCACACAACACAACTATTTTTATATGAGTATGTTTCTCATAAACATACTCAAGTGAAAGAAACAAAAACAAAAAAAACTTCCTTGTGTTGATTTAAATTATAACTGTACTGTGGTGAAACATAGATCACAAAATTTTTTGTCATTTAACCATTTTAAAGTGTACAAATCATTGGCATTAATAACATTCATCATGTTGAGAAACCATCACAATTGACATTTTCAACAAAGATTTACTCAGCTGGTGATATACGAGGATTGTATATTTCAAAATTGGCAGCTTATTTTGACCTTGCACTTACTAGTTTAAAAACAAAAATTATTTCTGTTTATAATGTCTTTACCAGATAAAACATGGGGTACATAAACTTACATAATCATAGGAGGAAGTTTCAAAAAGTTCATGGGAAAAGTGAATTAAAATTGGGGGAGTAGGCTGACGCAGTACATGGACCCTCTACAACAAGCTACGAGAGACGAAATGAAACAGACACATGAAAATCCTGGAACCCTAGAGGAAAGGTTAGAGAAATGAATGGAGTACTTGCTGGAAGGAGAAGCTGAGCAGGGGCAGTGAGAGAGGGAGACTGACTGGTGAACAGTGGACCAAAAGCAGCGTGACCATCTGTGAACAGCTTTGGCAACAGAAGGTGGCCTGGCAGAGCAGATTCATACATGGGAAAAGAAAGATGCTGTTCGTTCTTTTTTCCCATGCTCCCCTGATGACCTGGCCAGCTCCCACCCTCATTTACCCCCAGCACAGACCCTTTTTTGCGAGTTCAGAGCCACATGCCTGTGTAAGGGTGGGATGGGGTTGACTATTCTGCTTTGGTGTCTAGATTCAGGTGGGCTTGAACCGACAGAACCATCAGACCAGAATGTAACCAGTCACTCTGCAGCCAGCTACCCTGTGGTCCTCAGACAACAAAACCCGATCATTGCAGGGCCTTCAAGAATTACTTCCAGATTGTGTGTCATGGAGAGGAACTCCATCTAGGGTCAGGAACTTTGCAGCCACACCCCTCCCACACCACCCTCGTGAGCTTCATAGCTTGCAGGTCCAACAGCTGCACTGTGTCTGTTGTTTGGGATTTGGTTATGTTTTTTTTCCCTTTTGTTGTTTCACTGTTTTTGTTTGTTATTCTTTTTCTTCCTTCTTCTCATTCCTCTTTTGCCATTCCCTTGAATTTTATCCAGGAGTCCTAGTGTGGCGCTGTGGGCTAATGCGTCAGACTGCAAAGTCATTTGACCTGTAAGATTGGTGCTTCAAACTCACCAGCTGCTCCCTGGAAACCCTATACAGGGTCGCTATGGGTCCGAATCCACTCGATGGCACTTAAAAACAACAACAGCTCCATTTTTGTTTTTCCTTCTTTTTTTCTGTTTCTCACTTGCCCTTTTCTTTTTTCCCCTTTTTGATCTTACTACTCTTTCTACTTTCCCTTCTCTGATTTCTCAAAGTTTTTTTTTTTTTTCATATTTATTTTTTCCTCTTACTTTTCTGTAGATTCATTTTCCTGCTCCTTTTTTCTGTTTTTGGTTCTTGCGTGTGTCCTTATTTCTTCCTTTTATTTTCCTCTTCTAAAGCTCTATTTCCCTGGCCCTCTTTTGTCTGTGTATTTATTGTAATCTTTCTTTCTTTTTTTTTCTGGTTACTGCCTGTTTTTGCTCAAATTTTTTTCTCTTTTCATTGTTGGCTCCTTGTTTGTTTATTCTTTTTTCTTTTCTTGTGTATGTGTGTGGGAGGAATTTTCTCTTACATATCCAACAGGAGACAGCAACCATGCCCATGTAGTCCAGTCACAACGGGACCTTCTGCCACTCTATCCACTGAGCAAGAGCCAATACGAGCTCCTAAACTATCTGATCAACGCCAACAACACCTAACCCATCCTCAACTAAGGTGCACAAAAGGCAAACAAAATGGTATACACGCTTCCATTCTCTAACTACACCCACAGGAGCCAGTTGGTAAGCGCTTAAGAACACAGCAACATACAATCATCAATCAAATATAAATGTGACAATCCCACAATGCCCTGGAAACAACAGACCATTTTAGCTCCCACAAAGAAACAAGACAGATTGGGTCAAACAAATGACTAACATGTAGAGCTAGCAAACATTTCTGAGCAAGAAAAGGTAATGGAACTGATTGAAACAGAATTCAGCAGAATGATATTTAGGTATCTTCAAGGACTGACAGTAATATTGAGCAAAGTAAGACGATCACAAAGAACAAAAAATAAAAACACTTTCAAAGAACTGAGGAAAACACTGTAAGAACAGATAAAATAAATGCAAATTTTGAAAAATTACAAAACCTGCGATTTGAAATCCAGAAGATTAAAACTAAGAT